GTTTATTTTCCCCAGAACTCAATAGAATCGACAAGAAAAAATCGAACAATATCATTGTTTGAGTACATTGTTATCGTTTCCTGTGCTCACCTACCATGTCAGAATTGATAGTTTTACAGTTGTTCACCATATGACCATAGATGCATGCTCTACTCTGGGACTAAATCTCATAAGTTGTGAATATCATCAAATTTTCAAATTACAATAAAAAGAAACTTAGAAGATTTTACTTAAATGGGGAAATCATTTAAAGTAAAAGTATATCTAAACCAAATATTTAACGATAAGAATATACATAAGTTAAAGTATTAATGATGATAAATTGCTCAATTTTATATAGTGCAAAGACATAGTTAAACCTTTTTACATTATATTGCATGCGTAAACTGTAATAGGGCAGTGTGCTGATACAAAAAGTCAAAACACTATATATGTTCAAAGCTTATCTAGTTGATGGCACTAACCAAATACTATAACATCTGTATAGTCTCCTCCAATTTTTAAAATTATTTTTTCTTTTCAACTTCAATATTTTGCAATTTTTTTTTTTTTTTAGATTCTCCACTATTTAAAGTTCAAATATTAAACATATAGTTGCTATTTCTTTTGTCAAAATCAAACGTCCAATATATTAGGGGTGTACAAAAATCGAATCGACTGATAAATCAAACCGATAAAAGTGTTATTGGTTTATTGTTATTGGGTTAACGGTTATTTAATGATTTTATAAAAAAAATTATTGTTATCGGCTCGATATTGGTTTTTTAATATTGGGTTATTGGGTTAACCGATAACCCATTAAGAATATAATAATTTACTATTTTAATTTTTAGTCATACAAAAAATATTAATATAATCACTATATTAGACTTTAACTATAAGGACCCTAAACAATTAACATTACTTAATTAACTTTGCTCTATGCATTTATTCTTTAGGTTTTAGTATTACTTTAGTCTTTTAGGCAACAACTAGGGTTGTGAATTATGAGTATTTGCTATACTTTTACTACACTAAGCAGAATTTTTGCACTCAATGAGTAACTAGATTTCTCTCTTTTTTATTTCGCGTTAAATTGTTGGACAAGTCATATATTTATTTTGAAATCATTTTCTTATTGGTTAATCCGAAAACCGAACCGTTAAAGACCAAAACCGATAAACCAAAAACTGATAACAAATATCTTATTGGTTTGATTATCGATTTAGCATATTTAAAAACCAAAAATTGATAAATCGAACCGATAATACTTAAAACCAAACCGACCGATACACACCCCTAGAATATATATCCAATCTTGCCATATAAAATATTGAATTTTCCATCTTTTGATTTTTTCTTTTAATTTGTATGATCGATAAGTTATGTATTTAAGTTTCAGAATTACTGATGCTTGGGTCAGATCATGCCTACCTACATCATTAACCCTTGGGGCAACTATTTTTTAGACCTGAACATAGAATATTTTGTGTATCGACTTATCATTTTTGTTAATAACCTTTTTTACTTTCTCAATCTCTCATTAGTTGTCTTGTTTTGTTTTTGTTTAAAATTACAATTTAGATATTCAAAAGTTATACTAATAATATTATAAGTTATAATTTTTCTTACATCAATTTTAGATATTTAGTGAGAATCATATCTTTAAATATTGGTAGAAGTTAATATAATTTTGTCTTTCGAAAAGTGAAAATGACAAATACTATTGTTTTTTTTTTTCCTCAAATGTTAAAGTTTCTAAATATTAATATTTCATGAGGCCCACATGAATATCCCAATGTTAGAGAGTGCGATTTCTACGTGGGAAATCAATCTATATAATAATATAAAGCTGAATGTAAGAATGATGATGTGGCATGCCTCAATGGCCAGAATGACTATTTAGCTATTTTGTCAAAATTTTGAAATTTTTGTTTATTTTCTATTCTAAAACCTTCATGAAAAACTATATATTTCCTTATTAATTATTATTAGCATTTATTGAAATCACTCCTACTAATCATATATGTTAACTAATAACGTTATTTCATTTATTCCTTTCCTTATCAATAAAATACTATTAATTTTCTAGAATCTCTCTATATTCTTTATGTTACAAAAGTTTTTCGTTTTAATTAGATGAATTATATCTCATTTGTTTCTTTCCTTATGAATATAATATTAATCTTTCTTAGAATCTCTCCATTTTCCTTATATTACTTTGGTTTTCTTCTCTTTTTCTTTTTGATTGGATAAATTATATATATCATCATTATGAGAAAAAATCTGTCAATTTTAACTTACAAATACAAACTGAAAATGTCATATTCCTTCTGGCACAAATTGATTTCACTTTCATTCTCTTTGTAATATCTCCATTAAAATTTGGTAAGTTCAACAATTCTCTCTTCTTCTGTTAAATATAAGTTCAACAATCCACTTTGTTGTTTGTGAATAATATGCTTTGTAAATTTTATTTTCATCTTTTTTTTTCTCTTTCCTCATGTATGATATAAAATTTTTTCTCTATATATATTTAAATAGGTTTGCTCTCATCAAGGTAAGATCAATTATCTTCTTTTAAAAACTGTATATAGATTATAATATCATTAATTTTGAATTTGAATTTTATGTTTTTCATTTCTAATTCAAATGTATCAAAATTTAACTATTTTTTTTATCACCAATCTTGAGGAATATTGAATTTGTACAATACAGATTATTTATAAAATTTATACGTACGCGAGCCTAACTAATTTATTGATGACCAATCTTAAGGAATATTGAATCTAAGCCTAATTTCTTAATGACCCGTGTTAAGGAATATTGAATCTATGTAACACAAATTAATTAAACTTCAATATGTAAAAGAGCTTCAATATGACAACAAATTTGATGTAATAAGTTTTTCTCTTTTTTCCACTTTTATTTATTTTTCAATGAAAAGCAATATTAAAGTATTATCTAATAACAGAAAGAACAAGAAAATGGAGGAGCGAAGGATGGCGTCGAAGGAATATAGACGTTAAAATTATTGAATGAATACAACATTTTATGTTATTGAGGATGAAATGGTCGTGTCACGCTTGAAAGGTATTAAAATAGAATTATGATCTTTCAAAATGCATAGAGATAATCTCAGGAAAGATGGTGTATGCACTTTTTTTATCTCTTACTTTTTGTTTCATTTTAACACAAGTATATTGTTGGAGTATTATTTAATCAAAATTACACTATTCATTATAGCGTCATAACTTAGGAAAGTGAAAAATAATATAAAATAATAATTACTTACGTAAAATCCAAAAAAAAAACATCATTTTACAATTCAAGCAATCGAATCATCCTTGACCAAAAAATAATTTCTAATTCATTTACAAATAAGTACTAAAGAAAATTATTGCTAAAGAACTTATAAATGTTATGATTTTATTAACTTGAAAATAGATGTATTGATATAAATATTTGTACTTATAAACATATATAATTGATTGATTCTGAAGAAATTACTAATATATTTTTCTATTAAATTATTTTTATTTTTAGATATGCTTACATTTTATTGGGATTTAGTATGATGTTGAGAAATTTCACAGAGGTTAAATTTACGATATCTTTCTCTTTTTGGAGATTTTCTTTATTTTTTCCTACTTTATATGGTATATTACATATTTTTTTTTAGAAAATTCACACATTTTATTCTCTTAGTAATATTAAATGTGTAATGTTAAAAACTCATTTCTTATAGAATAATGAGATTTTTTGTTATTACTGTTAGTTCAACGATACAATACAATAAAATTAGATTAACAATCAAAACAAGCCAACCATCCAAACAAGCAGTTAATGTAATTTAATGATCTTTATTTTCATTACTCTCACATTTTTATTATCATAAACCCTAAAATAATTAATAGACATGACATTATTTGATATTTAATATTGTAGTACTATAAATAAGGACACTGTAAGAATTTGTAGAAATGATCACATTATTAGCTCTTTAAGTTGTTGTGTTTTTGGTGTTTACATGTTTTAGTTTGACTTGAAGAATAAGATGAAGGCTATTGAATGATGATCAATTTGTGGGAGTGGAAATCAACAAGAGCTCGCAAGATTGTGCATTGATTTCATATTGTTTCCTTCTATTTTTAATGATTAAGATTGTAAAAAAAATTAGTGCACTTTTTTACATTTTCTTTCTATGATTTTTCTTTTATTTTATATTTTATATTTTATACGTTTTGTTTGTCAAAATAATAACTTATGCTTCGTTGGCGAAGTCTGCTAACTACTACCAAAATATTTTATGTCCAGATTATATCAAAATAATGTCATTTTCCCCTCTAAAGTGTCTAAACAAACACCACTAATTAATTCGCGGTGAAACTTGATGAAGTAAACCTCTTAGGGGGTGCAAGTATCATATTTCAGAAGTTAGAGGGAGTTTAAACAACTTCAAGTTTTTGGCGATTATAATGAGATGAGCTAAATTCTGCGGTAGTTATCCACTATTAAACAAACGCCTTAAGAAACAATAAATAATAGGGTAATATTACATTACATTTTAAATATATTAAATTTAATGCTTTGGAAAATATATTAAATATTGAATAGTATCTAATAGTCAGGTAAAATAGACACAAATAGATAAATAATTCATTGATTTTCAAATTGGACAAGTATTGTTTGACATCTAATTTTAGTACTGTAGGCAAATAAAAATGGACGGAAGAAGTAATTGATATCCTACCGTTTTCTACAACCGAGCGAAGCGCGGATAAGTTCTCTAGTATATATATAAAGGAGGCTCTTTAGTCCGCTTATGTGGCATGCCTCAATGGCCACTATTCCTAAAAAAAAATTCTTTTTTAATTCATTTTATACCCAATTTATTAATAAAATAGACTAATAAAAGATTCATCCAATAAATATATAATCAAGTCATGTAGTAATCAAGAATGATTTATGAACTCTCTTAATTCATCAATAAAGACTAAGGGTCTGTTTGAAAGGACACAATGGAATTGGGAATTGGTGTAATTGGTGTAATTACTCTCTTTGTCCTGTTTGGTAGACCAAGTAATTACATGGTAAGAGGGGAATTGGGTGTAATTGAAGGGGTGTAATTACACTCCTCAATTCCTTGGGGAGGGTAAGGAATTGAGTGTAATTACACCATGTAATTACATGAATTTTTTAATATTATTTTTTAAATATATTTTTATTTGAAACACCAAAAGGTCAATTCTTTCTTTTTGTCTGGACATTTCCATTTCTTTCAACGGGACAAGAACAAACCTTGTGCATCTTCTTTCAAAGTAAGACTTCTTTCTAATTCATTTTACTTTCAAATTTTGATGTCTAGGTAGATTATGTATGAGTTTGATCTTTGTATTTTCTCCTATTAGTTCTTGAGATTAAAATAATTATGAGAATTAATTTTTTTCTTTAATTTTTTATAATAAATTGGAACTGGGTTTGGTGTCTAAAGTCAAATCAGGCCTTATTTAATTGGAGATTGATTGAGTTCATGATTTGTGCCAATATTTGTTGAGGATTTTTATGGTTGTTTTTACTGTTTGTTTCTATTGAGATTGGACTGTGTATTTACTTGTAGGCTCTGGGTATTAAGTTGATGAAGGGGCACATGATATTATAGAAATACTAAAGATAAGAACTGCATATTTACTTTATTTTTATGATTGGTTCTGATCGGTGAATGTCAGTTGGTATGGGTGGAAATCTTGTTGATTTGGTTGGTGTTTATGTTATCATTTGTGCAACTGTTGGTGTATTAGCGAGTTGGTACAAGAGTGACTGAGAACTGTAATTTGACGACTTTAGGTTGTGAAGTTTACATCAATCGATACACCTCTGCTCTTGGTTTCTTTCCATTTACACTCTTTGTATTTAAAATTGTATATTAGTTGATTGTTATAGTGCATAATATTATCACTGGTAGCTATAGTAAGTAGCAAAACAAAATATCAACTCCTAGTCAGCCTACCAAACAAACTTTAAATGGGTTAACAGTTCAGGTTTGCTGTCCTAGTTGCTAGCTTGGGCTTGAAACTGGCCTTGTACATCACTTCCTGGATGATGCGTCAAATCAAAATAATTTTCGATTCCTCTCTTGCCACACTTGATATATGTGATTAGTCATAGTCATTCGGTAAATGTGAGCATGATGTAAATTACTCCTCATGTTATTCTAAGAACAATCAAGTTCACCTTGCCAAATTAACATCAAAGCCTACTTTAGTGAAGTACTTTTTTGCCTTGAAATTTTTAATATTTTCATTTATGTAGGATGACAACTAACCAAACACCTAAGGTTGGAAAACCATACACCAAATGGAGTGAAGTTCAAGATGAACATTTCATTTACTTTATTGCTGAACAAGTTAAGTTAGGAAGAACGCAACCAGGAGGCTTAACCACTGAAGGATGGGATAGTGTAGAAAAAGAAATGAACAAGCTATATGGGGACAAATTAGATAAGACTAAAATGAAAAATAGGATGAGGACTTTGAAGAAGATATATGCTACTATGAAGAGAATGTCACAACATAGTGGATTTGGGTGGAATGAAGAAACTCGAAAAGTTGATGTTGAAGATGATGTCTGGGAGCAATACCTTGCAGTGAGTTACATATATTCTTATTTTTTTCTCGATATAATTTAAAGTTGTGTTATTTATTTTCTGATTTAAGACTATTGATAATATAATAGGCACACCCAAAAGATTCAAAGTATAGGACGAAGAGGTTGCCAGACTATAATACTTTGGCATTAATTTTTGGAGATACTGTCGCTGATGGTAGGAATGGGTGTGAAATTAATGATGTCGAGGATTTTCAAAGTGAATTCACCGATGATGATATAGCTGCTGAAAAAGTTACCATACCTGCTGAAGATACACAATTTGTTGACCAGGATGATGGATATTTTGTTCAGAACATGAACTTTACTAGTCCTGAAATAACTCAATCATCTAATCAAGAAAAGAGAGCAGGAAAAAGGCATTTAGATGAGCAACCAACTTTGACATCACGTCCAAAGAGAATTAAGAATTCTATTGGAAATAGCTTGGCAAAATCTGTTGATCGATGGACAACAATAGCTGAAGAACAATTAAGGCTACAACATGAACCAAAAAACACTTCCGCTGAAAAATTAATGCCTTTGATATTGGAATTAGAGTTGGATGATGAATGGACTATGCAAACTGTTGACCTCCTTGTAGATAAGAGAAATGCTGAATTTTTTGCTGCTATGCCTCCAGAGCTTAGAAAGAAATGGGTCATGCGCAAACTTGGTTTATATTGAGTGATGTCGTTTAAAAGCATATTTTGTTGTTCGAATGACGTTTTGGGCTAGTATCTTATTTACTTCTAGATTATCTATTCTAGAATTAATCCTAAGACTTATCTTATGTTTTGTTAAGATTGTATATGATATTATCTCTTCTTTGTTTTGAAATTACGTTACTTATCTTATGTTTTGTTAAGATTGTATATGATATTATCTCTTCTCTTCTAAATTATCTATTCTAGAATTAATTCATTTACTTGTCAAATAGGATGGCAAAGGATGATCATGTCATGGTGTTTCTGGCAAAATGTGTACTTTTAATTAGTATCATTGCAAGTTATTTTGGTGTTGGATCCAAAAAAAGAGTGCACGGATCAATTTTAACTGGAGCAGATTTTATTAAATATTTGATTGAAGGACATCCTCGTGGATGCTATGACCTATTGCGTATGAATGTTGGATGTTTCTTGCAATTTGCAGATGAGATGAAAACAAGAGGTCTATTAACTGATTCAAGAATGGTTAGAGTTGAAGAACAACTGGCTATATTTTTATTTACGTTAGCTCATAATGAAAGGAATAGAGTTGTGCAAAATCGTTTTCAACATTCAGGAGAAACAATTAGTCGTTATTTTAACAAGTGCTTGAAAGCTTGTCTCCGATTAGGAAAATACTATGTGAAACAGGCAGGAAAAGATATCTCGCATGAAATATCCTCTAATCCATTTTTTTATCCTTGATTCAAGGTTAGTTTTTAGCATTACATTTACTTTTACTAGTTAAAATTTTATAATTGTTTTGTGTCATATTTTAAAATTTATTGTAAGCTTTTTGAAGGATTGCGTTGGAGCTATAGATGGAACTCATATTCCTGCACTAATACCCATGGAAGAACAACCGAGATATAGAAATCGTAAAGGAGTTCTTTCTCAAAATGTCCTTGCTGTTGTAGATTTTGATATGAAATTTCAATACGTGCTTAGTGGTTGGGAAGGCTCTGCTTCGGATTCTAGAGTGTTAAAAAATGCTGTTTGGGAAAGATCACAAAATAGATTGAAAATTCCGAATGGTAATTTACTAATAATTCAATAGTGATATTATTTATTTTTCTAAAGAGTTCAAGCTGATACTTGTAATTTTGTAGGAAAATATTACATTGTTGATGCAGGCTATGCAAATACAAAGGGCTTTCTAGCACCTTATCGTGGTGCACGATATCATTTGAGAGAAAGGAGCCAAACACAAGCACCACAAAATGCTCGTGAGCTCTATAGCTCCAAACAGGACATGGGTAATTACAGTGTAATTACACTGTGGCAACCAAACAGGCCAATGTAATTACTAGACAGTGTAATTACTAGGCTGGTAATTACTACCCTAGTAATTACACCAATTTCAATTACCAGGTGGCTTTCCAAACAGACCCTAAATAATAAAAGAACATTATTGTAGACAATTGTCCAAACGTTTTTACTTATTAAAAATCTTTACAAAAAGATATCAATGTTAAAATCAATCCTTACCATTTATAATAAGAAAAAACTCTTTATTTTTATTTTTTCAGTTACAACATAATAATTTCACATTATTTAATTATAGAATTTAAAAGGTTTCTGTACCATTAAATGAGAAAACAACTATATAAAATTATAAACAAAATATATTCACCATCTTAATGCATGATCACTACTACTATCTTGCATTTTTGTATTATTGTTGGATCAAAATAACTCTTCATTGATCACCTTTCAAGATACCAAACACCATTTACGTGATATAACAAAAGGCATCATCGGGCTACTGCTAAGCATTTAAAATTTGACTCACATCCGAGAGTAAAGCAAGAAGAAGAAAATATGCAAGAATTGAAACTTTTGAAGAAGTTTTAGTCTGAATCTACGACTAATTCGATAGGTATAATTTTCAACTCAAACCCTTGTATGAATATTGTTATTTTTCTTCTTTTGTCCTCTTCTTCTTTTTTCATTGGAATACTTAGATTTTGTATGACAAAAAAGTGACAATATTTCAAGAAAAAATTGATATTGAGGGATTTTGCTTAAAATTAAGAGAAGACAAAAAGGAAATATATAAAGTACTACGGGAGAGAAAGAAAAATGAAATAAATAAAAAGGGATAAGAAAAAATAAAGATATCAAGAAAAAGAAGAAAAAGAAAAGGCTCCATATATATAATATTGTCAAATTAAAATTTAATATACAAAGAAGATACATTTATATTGTTCCATATATAAGTCTTATTTTGTTCCATATATGAGTCTTACATTGTTCCATATATATAATATTGTCAAACTAAAATTTAAATTCAAAGAATGATTCATTTATTTTGTTCCATATATAAGTCTCAGTGTGTTCCATATATATAATATTACCAAATTAAATTTTGATATTTAAAGAATGATCCATTTATTTTATTCCAGATATAAGTCTTAGTATGTTCCATATATATTCTTCCTAAATTTATAGAGAATAATAATAAATTATTTAAATGACAAGGAATATTATTTAAAACAAAAAAAGGGTATTTTAATTTGAATTCATTATAAGTAGAATAAGAAAGGAAATGACTTCTAAGTGGTCATACAAATTCAATTCATAGTCATGGGCAGAATTAGAAGAACACTTCTCTAATATACGTGGATTGGTTCTTACAAAAGAATAAAACATTTATTAATTTAATTAGTTAGTACATAAAGAGGAGAAATAAAAAAAAAGTATCAAAGGAATGGAGAAAAAAGAAAAACTATGTTGGAGTATATATATACTGTAACAAAATAAAATAACAATAAAATTAATAACAATAATAATAATATTATTATAATAATAACAATAATAATATAATAAAATAATTTAAAAAATATATTGTAACAAAATTTTGTAATGCTTTTATTTATAAGACAATATATGAATATCTAATGTATTATATATATATATATATATATATATATATATATATATATATATAATTTAGAAGTTATGATCATCAAAAGTCATGAGAATTATGAAATAAAGATAATTTAATTTTTATATTGAAGTATATAAATAAATGAAGGAGTAGTAATTGACACAATCATTTTTGTATAAAAATAATAAGAAATAAAGTAGAATATGAAAGAAAATGACTTCTATTTTGAGAGAAAACTTTGAAAATAAAAGTTATAAATAAGAAAGGCGCATAATTAACGTGTTAGGAAAAAGAAAGAAAAAACTAAAATGAAAAAGAAACTAGATTGTATCATTTATTTCTTTTTTTAGTTTATTTCATGTTTTATGATATAAAACTCAAATAAAAGAAACCTAGGGTTAGATGCATATAAATATACTAGATAATTGTGGCCGTGCTCCGCACGGGTGCGTAATGTCATCATTTGCAAATGAAGACATCCAAGTGAACTATAGAAATGGAGATGAATTTGTTGAACTATGAAGTCTACGTAGAGGTAATTTTAGAGTTCATTTCTATTGAGTAACAGAGCATTCCTTGTGTTCTTGGATTACAAGATAATCACCATGAGGCCTCCTGTAGGGATACAATTACTTCTGTCAGTGCATTTAAATCCTGCGTAATTTGAATAAAATATCATTAATTCAGACAGTTGTGAAGCATAAATGAAGGCAAATAGATTAAAAACCCATTAAATTCAGTGACATATATAAAGCTCAAACTAAGAAGCGTAAGAAATTAGACCAAGCTAAACTCAATCAGCAGTTTCATTTCGTGGTGGGTGTTAGTTCTGCCTTTATCAAGTTGTATATTTTGGTCATTTTTGTTTTAACTTTTGTTGGTTTCCTTCTTTTGGGTGGTAAAAAAAATTGTTTGCGAGGCTAATAATTGTTATCAAAGAGTTGTTGGGTTTAGGATCTTTTTTCCCTTCCTATGTGGATAAATACAAGTCTTATTAGGACTAGCCCACTTTACCCCATAACCCAAAATATTATGTGGCATATATAAGGCTTATTTGGTCTTATTTTCAGAAACACAAGAGAGAGAAAAATCAAGAGAGTTTCGTTTTAGAGATTGAGAGAAAAAGAGAAAAAAATCCCGTTTTTGCTTCTGGAAATTTTCTGCTCAGGCAATCCGCTTCAGACAGAGTTTTCCGCTTCGTTAACCGTTGGATCGTGCTCAAATTTGAACTGGGAGTTCTCAGCATCTGGTTCTTGCAATTCAATGGTGGAGATCAGATTTAGAGGTCTTTAGCTTCTGATTTTGGGGCGTGAACAGTAGCGTGTTTTGGATGAAATCTCTTCTTTAATTCTCTCTAGTTTTGGTGCAATCTTGATTTGTTGTTGCTCGTTGTTTGGCACTTGTTTTGTGGCCAATTTTGGAGAACAATTTTGTAACTCTTGGTGTTTATAGTGGAGCTTTTGGTCCTGTGGTTTTTTACTCTTCACATCGAAGGGTTTTCCACGTAAATCGTTGTGTCTTGTGTGATTGGGTTATTCTTATCTTGTTGCTTTAGTTTGATTGATATACTTGTTGTCCATTCTTCATATTGATTGATTTGGTTTGTCTTCTCTTGGTTCAAATTGAAAGGGAAAGTTTAGATTTGGGTATTATTCCGCTGCTATCATGTTTGACATTCTTGTTAGTGTCTTGTCTTTCCCAACAAAGTGGTATCAAAGCATTGGTTGTTGTTCATTATTGATTTGAATTATGGAGGCAAATATGAGCAAGATGGTTTGTTTGAATGGTAGTAACTATCATATTTGGAGAGGCAAGATGAAAGATCTTCTATTTGTCAAGAAAATGCATTTACATGTCTTTACCTCTAATAAACCCCGATCCATGACGGATAAGGAATGAGAATTTGAGCACTTGCAGGTTTGTGGCTATATTAGACAATGGGTTGAAGATAATGTTCGAAATCACATTGTGAATGAGACACATGCTAGAAGTTTGTGGGACAAGCTCGAGACGCTATATGCTTCGAAGACTAGCAACAATAAGTTGTTTCTATTGAAACAATTGATGAATATCAGGTATAAAGAGGGCAC